GAGGGAGGGAGAGGAAGGGAGAGACAGACAGAAACATCGACGTGAAGGGACACATCGAGTGGCTGCCACCCGCACGACCAACCAGGGCCGGGGACAAACTGCAACCGAAGTACGTGCCCTTAGCGGGAACTGAACCCGGGTCTCTCCGGACCGCAGGCCGACGCTCTAACCGCTGAGCCAAACTGGCCAGGGCCCATATAAAATTTTTTAAGTATTTGTTCTTGTTTTGTGAAATACGTCATTGGTGTTTTGATGGGGATTGCACTGAATATACAGATTGCTTTCAATAGTATGGACATTTTAATGATGTTAATTCTTCCAATCCATGAACAAGGTATGTGCTTCCACTTTTTTATATCTTCTTCTATTTCTTTTTTCAATGACATTTAGTTGTCTGTGAAGAGGTCCTTTACTTTTTTGGTTAAGTTTATTCCTAGGTATCTTAATTTTTTTGCCACGATGGAAAATGCGATTGTTTTTTTAGTTTCTCTTTCTGTGAGTTCATTATTGGTGTATAAGAATGCCATCATTTTTTTATGTTAATTTTGTATCCTCTACTTTGCCAAATACATTTATTAAGTCTAGTAAATTTTTGATAGAGTCTTTAGGGTTTTCTATGTATAATATCATGTCATCTGCAAATAATGGCAGTTTCATTTCAATCTTTCCAATTTGCATCCATTTATTTTTAACTTCATATCTGATTGCTGTGGCTAAAACTTCTAGTGCTTAGTTAAATAAGAGTGGCGAAAGTGGGCATACCTGTCTTGCTCCTGTTCTTAATGGAAATGCTCTTAGTTTCTGCCCATTGAGTATGATTTTGGCAGATCTTTCATATATGGACTTTAATATGTCAATTTATGATCCCTCTATTCCCAAACTGCTGAGCACTTTTATCAGAAATAGATGCTGGATTTTGTCAAATGCTTTTTCAGCATCTATTGATATGATCATGTGGTTTTTATTGTTCATTTTATTTATGTGGTGTATCACATTTATTGATTTGTTAATATTGTACCAGCCTTGCCCTGGCAGGATTGGCGCAGCGGTTGGAGCGTCGACCTGCGGTACTGAGAGACCCGGGTTCGGTTCCAGCTAAGGGCACGTACCTCGGTTGCAGTTTGTCCCCGGACCTGGTTGGTCGTGCGGGTGGCAGACACTCGATGTGTCCCTTCACATCGATGTTTCTCTCTCTCTCTCTTCCTCTCTCTCCCTCCCGCTCTATCTGAAAAAAAAAAAAAAAAAAATATTGTACCAGCCTTGCATCCCTGGGATGAATCCCACTTGGTCATGGTTAATACTTTTTTTGATGTATTGCTGGGTTCAATTTGCTAGTATTTTGTTCAGGATTTTGGCATCTATGTTCATCATCAGAATTGGCCTGTAGTTTTCTTTCTTTGTAGTGTCTTTTTCTGGTTTTGGAATTAGAATTATGCTGGCCTCATAGAATGAGTTTGGAAGTCTTCCTTCTTCTTGAATTTTTTGAAATAGTTTGAGGAGAATGGGTATTAGTTCCTCTTTGAATATTTGGTAAAACTCCCCTGTGAAGCCATCTGGGCCTGGGAGTTTGTTTGCTGGGAGAGTCTTGATTACCTCTTCAATTTTCTCAGTTGTTATTGGTTTGTTTAAGTTTTCCATCTCTTCCTGGTCCAGTTTTGGGAGACTATGTGTTTCTAGAAATTTGTCTATTTCACTTAGTTTGTCGAATTTGTTGCCATATAATTGTTCATAGTAGTTGTTAAGGTCTTTTGTATTTCTGCAGTGTCAGTTGTTACTTCCCCTCATTCATTTCTGATTTTGTGTATTTGGGTTCTGTTTGTTTTTTTCGTGAGTCTAGCTAAAGGTCCAACCATCTTGTTTATCTTTTTAAAAAACCAGCTCTTTGTTTCATTGATCCTTTGAATTGTGTTTTTTTTTGGACTCTATGTCATTTATTTCTGCTCTTATTTTTACCGTTTCCTTCCTTCTACTTGCTTTGGGGTTTTCTTTTTGTTTGCTTTCTAGTTCAAGTTATGATGTTACATAATCTATTAAAATTTTTTCTTGTTTCTCGAGGTAGGCCTGTAGTGCTATTAACGTCCCTCTCAGAACTGCTTTGGCTGCATCCCATAGACTTTGTGCTGTTGTATGTTTATTTTAATAGGTTTTCAGGAAGTTTTTAATTTTTTCCTTGATCTCCATGGTAATCCATTCATTGATTAATAACGTTATTTTGCCTCCATGTGTTCCAATGTCTTTGCATGTTCTTGTTGTAATTGATTTCTAGTTTCATGCCATTGTGATCTAAGAAGATGCTTGATATGATTTCAATATTCTTGAACTTGTAGAGACTTAGTTTGTGTCCTGACATGTTGTCTATCTTTGAGAATATCCCATGTGCACTTGAGAAGAATGTAAATTCTCCAGTTGTGGGGTGTAATTCTCTGTAGATATCTATTAAATCCATTAGTTCTAGTGCTTCGTTTAGAGTATCTGTTTCTTTGCTCATTTTTTTTTTTTTTTGTCTAGAGGATCTATCCAGTGATGTCAGGGAGGTGTTGAAATCCCCTGCTATGATTGTGTTGTTGTCGATTTTTCCTTTCAATTCTTCCAGAAGATTTTTAATATATGTTAGTGCTCCTATATTGGGTGCATATATGTTTATCAATGTTATATATTTCTGTTGGATAAGGTAGTGGCTTCTTTGTCTGTAGTTATGGCCTTCATTTTGAAATCTGTTTTATCAGATATGAGTATTGCTACCCCAGCTTCTTTTCCCTTGGAAGATTTTTTTCCATCCCTTCACTTTCAACCTATGTGAGTCTTTTGTTGTGAGGTGGGTCTCTTGTAAACAAGTATAGATGAGTCATGCTTTTGTAGCCAATCCGCTACACTGTGTCTTTTTATCAGAGCATTCAATTGATTTACATTTAAGGTGGTTATTGATATGTACTTATTTATTGCCATTTTTGTTTAGTGTGGTTATATTTTTCTTCCTATTTCTTCTGCTAATTACGGCATTCCTTTTAATATTTCTTGCCATGCTGGTTTGGTGCTAATGTATTCCCTTAGCCTTTTTTTTTTTTTTTGTATGGGAAGCTTTTTATTTGACCCTCTATTTTGAATGACAGCCTTGCTGGGTAGAATAGTCTTGGATTCAGATCCTTGTTTTTCATGACCTTGATTACTTTGTGCCATTCACTTTTGGCCTATAGTGTTTCTGTTGAGAAGTCAGCTGAGAGCCTTATGAGAGTTCCTTTGTAGGTAACCTATTGTTTTCTCTTTCTGCTTTAGGATTCTCTCTTTATCTTTAGTTTTTGGCATTTTAATTACTATGTGTCTTGGTGTGGGCCTGTTTGGGTTCTTCTTAGTTGGGGTTCTCTGTGCTTCTTTAACTTGAATGTCTTTTTTCTTCACCAAGTTAGGAAATTTTTCTGTCACTATTTCTTCAATTATATTCTCTAACCCTTGCTCATTTACTTCTTCGGGAACTCCTATGATGCAAATATTATTACGTTTCCAGTTGTCCCACAGTTCTCTTAAGCTGTCTTCTTGTTTTTTAATTGTTCTTTCCTTTTGGTTTTCTGGTGGGTTGATTTTTTTTTCTACCCTGTCATCTAATTCACTGATCTGGTCCTCTGCTTCCTCTACTCTACTGTTTAGACCTTCCAATGTGTTCTTTATTTCTGCTATGTCATTCTTCATTTCTTCTTGGTGGTTTTCAATGTCCAATTTGTTGATTTTTAATGTTTCTATGTCTTTAGTCATAGTGTTAATATCCTTACTCATGCTGTTGAGCTTCCTCAAGGTCATGGCTCTGAATTGTAGCTCTGTTAACTTGCTTAACTGCACCTCATTTATCTCATCTTTGGTACAGGTCTTTTGTTCTTTCATTTGGCATTTGTTTCTTTTTTTTTCTTCATTATTTTGGCTAACGCTTTGAGTTTTGCAGTGTGTCAAATTTTCCTTGTGGGTGATGGTGTTCCGCTGTTTGTGGCTCCCTTCACTGGGTTTGGATGAGTGTAGGTGGACCCATATTAAAAACCACTGTCAAGTTTTACTTTCTTGGATAGAGTTGCAAGACCAGGAATGGTTCAGTTATTCTTTAGCTTTTTGCCTGGAGGCTGTCAGTCAGGGTTACTTGAAGAGCCTTGGGTTCTCACTTGAATCTGGAAAGGCTATTCTTGATTGCATTGGGGATTTGTAGGGCTGGATGAAAGAAGTTGAAGGGATTAAGCAAAAAACCCAAAACCCCATATTTGTATATCACATAGATACAGACAACAGTGTGGTGGTAGCCAGAAGGAAGGGGCATTGGAAGTAGGTGGAGGTGATCAAAGTGGGTGATAATGGGTTTGGAAAGAGGTTTTGCTTGGGGGGATGGGCACACAGCATGTAGAGTGCTGGTGATGTTTTGTTGAGTTATATACTTGAAACCTGCATGGTTTGGTGAGCCAGTGTTACCCCCCAAGATTCAATTAATAAGTGAATATTACTTAATGTAAATTATACCTCAATTAACAACAACAAAAACAAATAATTATGATATTGCCTTTTCCCATAAATATTTTACTTCAAACTTTAATATAATTATATTACTTGGGGAATGGCTTAGAAGGAATAAGAATCAATGGGAAAGAAAAGGGGAAAATTGTCTTAGTATCTTGTGTTTGTTGTTCAAACAGATATTCCCTTCCTTGACACTGGAATGTTATTTTACTATCATGAGACCAAAAACTGATTACTTAGGAAGAGTCAATAGTGGTTTATAGCACCATTACTCTCCCTGATCAGTAGGTACATTCCAGGTCCAGAGGGTGGTTGCCATTTATTGACATCCTGTTAGATGTGAGTAGAGATAATGCTGTATTGAGCCTATACTCTCTCTCTCTCTCTCTCTCTCTCTCTCTCTCTCTCTCTCTCCCTCTCTGTAATTAATTGGAACCTCTTCATTAGGGTATCCTATTTATTTACTTGTCAAAAGATTGCTAAAATGGGTTTAGCAGTGAATAATCAGCAGGATGGTGTGGGTCAGTGACTCTTTAGCAGCTTCAGCATACAGCTCCTTACAGTCTCCAGAGAACTTGAAAGATGAAGGTGTCCACATCACCCATGTGGAGAAGGATTTTGTTGCTTTCTGCTCCTCAGGCCTATGTATGTGTCTTTCATTTGTAAGCAAAGTCTTGTGGGGATGAGGTGTGCCTACTTTCATAGTTTTACTCAATATCCTAGGAAAGAACACAGGCTGAGTCTTTGTGAAGCATTTATAAAGGAATGAAGAGCCCATCCAAGTTTCTGCATCATTCTTTTATAGCTTCCTATGGTCATCCAGTCTCCCTCAGGCTCTACATCTACCCAGCTGCCAGTCTTGCATATGCTCTAAGTGACCAGTCAGTAGGCACACAATAGTGTTGGTGGTGTGAGTCTATTATGCAAAATGGCATTGATTTCACCAGGGAGGAAATGACTAAAAGAAAAAGAGGATGTAAGCTTCTTTGTAGAAAATATATTTTCTAGTTTAGAAAATAAGAAATCTAGGTAGAAAATACTGTTAAAAGATTAGCAATTCATTAGTAGGACCTGGTAAAGTGAGATTGCGACCTAGGGGTAGTAAAAAGTTTTAAAGACTCAATTCTAAAAACCATCATATTTAAGATGATATATTTTGAAAATGAAGATTGTATAGTAAAGAGAAGAGAATTCCCAGGCCTGCACAACGGCAGATAGAATTTCTAACATGCTAAAGCAACAGCTTATTCTTACTTAATATATTTTATTATATTATAGAGACTATTATATATAGTCTCTAGCACATCTACATCAGCTAAATAGTATTATCCCATTTACCCAGATAAGGTAACTAAAGCTCACACAATCATAACAATTGCCTGAACAAATACTAGTAGTATTCAGATATGAACCCAAGTTCATATTAGTATTCATATTAGTATTCAGATATAAACCCAAATTAGGTTATTTTATCAAACCCAATAAAACAATAGAGAAGCTATATTATTTATGCATTTAGACCATTCCATTGTCAAAACCATATAGACTTTTGTGCCCAAGAATGGGCTACTGAAATATCAGAATACAACAGTCTTAGCAAAAGCAGTCTTTGTCCATGTATGACTGATATAGGAATTGAGCCAACCAGTGTTAGCTAAGAAAGAACCCTTAGGGTAACTTATTGACTGATCTATTATCGGAAGAGGGCATCAATGGTGTAGTATTGAAGTATCTTCTAAACCAGACAGATTTGAGTTCAATAACTGCTTCATCAATTTGTAGCTCGTAGGTCTAAAAAAATGTTTTAAGATTAAATGAGAAAATCTTTGCTAGAAAATATGATCTATATAATCAACTTAGACATATCAGTTTTAGATTTTGAACCATAGAAACCATAGAATTATGATTCTAGAACTCTATTCTTTCATCTGAGATGCTATAACCCTTATGTGACATCTTTTATAGGTCAAAGTCCACCGTGTCACACTGTATATAAAGCCAAGCACAGAAATCTTAGTCTTCATTTTTCCTATAGGCTTAAGATTGTCTGGAGATATTTGCAGTCTATGACCTTTATTTTTTTCTTTATTTATTTTTAGAGAGAGAGGAAGGGAGAGGGAGAGAAAGAGATAGAAACATTGATGAGAGAGAACATCAATTGGTCGCCTCCTGCATGTCCCCCACTGGGGGTTTGGCCCACAACCAGGGCATGTGCCCTGACCAGGAATTTATCATATTCTTTAAAATTTTTTTTTTCTTGATTGATTTTAAAGAAAGAGCAAGGGAGAGGGAGATAGAAACACCTAGAGAACATTAATTGGCTGCCTCCTGCATGCCCCCCACTGTGGATCGGCCCCCACAACCTGGGCATGTGCCCTGACCAGAAATCGAACCAGCAACCTCTTGGTGCAGGGGTCGATGCTCAACCACTGGGCCACACCGGCTGGGCTAAATTTATTATGTTCTTTATTCACAGATAATGTTTCCTGAAGAGAGCAAGTGGTTCTTTCTTCATCACGAAACTAATAAATCATGTTCAAGAATATTCTTGGCATTGTCATCTAACAGAAATAGTTGTGATGGTAAGTAGCATATTATTTTTTAAACTGTCCACTTATTCATAAAGTCAAGAAATGTATATGATAATCCACCTGTGTACTTTACATAAATGATATAATATTCACATTGTAGCACACCTTGCTTTTTAATTATTTCCAAAGTTCTAAGCTCCAGTAGGCAAAAAAGTTAATACATGCTAAGCTTCTGTACTCAAATATTAAAATATTTGCAGATAAGAAAAAAAGAAATATTGAATATAGAACATTACAGAAAAAAAATATGACCTATGAGAATACATTTGGTATGGAATAACATTTGCTTAAATATGTCAACTTCCTGTCTTGAGAGAGTTTCCAGGCCACTGCACAGGGAGGCAGAAACAAGACAGACCAGGTAGATGCCCACAGTCAAAGAGGCAGAGCTGACAGTCCAGGGAGAACGAGGTGGCTAGAGTTCCCAGAACAGAATACCAAAGAAGAGACACCTACACAAAGAGAACTCTGGAGATCTTCAGAGGATCCCCATGAAGTGTTTAGTGGAATATGTTGAGCTTGTGCATGTTTGTGAGGAAACTACCGGGTCAGGGGAAAGAGCTACCCTCAGGGATTACTGGGAAAAATACTATGGTACTCATGCAAAGCCAGGGATAGTGCCTATTGCCACTACTCAGACTGGAAAAATATCATAATTTGCCTGTTGACTATGCAGAAGGGTCTGATTTAAGTTTCATGGAATAAAAGACCCTGAAGTAAATAATTATCTTGTCCTTCCCAACAGATCTAAAACCAATACTCAAAAAGATCAAACTGTTCTCATGTAACACAATGGATCTAAGAACAAAACACAAGAATAAGTACAAGAATATTTAGCACTTGAAAATATAAATTTCAAAATATATAAAATCAAATAAAAATTACCAAGGATACAAAGAATTAGGAAAATAAACACCACTATCAGCGGAATGATCAAAACTGAGTCATAACTGGCACAGGTATTAGGATTAATTAAAAAGGAATATGAAGAGTATTAAATATGACCAATAGTTAAGTAGAGGCTTGGAAGATATTATAAAATTTAAATTGTATTTTGAGACAGAAAAACTAGAATGTGTAACCTGAAGAATACATTAATAGCATGCAATTAGATACTGTAAAAAGAAAAAATAATGAACTTGAAGAAACTATATAAGATAGAGCACAGCAAACAACAAAAATACAATTAAAATAAACAAGGCATCAGTGAACTGTGAGATCAATTGAAAAGGCCTAAAATACATTTAAGTGGTATCCTAAAGGGAAAGGAACAAAATAATATTTGAAAAAATAATAGACAAATTTTCTCCTATGTAATGAATCCATAAGTTTACTGATTTAAGAAGGGCAACAAACCTGAAGTATTAATAAAGTAGAATAAATACAGCAAACTCATATTGGTCTAAATTCTCTAAACTGTTGTTAAAAAGGTAACCCTAAAACTTAAGAGAAAAAAGAGACAGGCTACATGTAGAGAAAGAAAGTAAGGAATGCAGCTGACTAATTGTCAGAAACAATTTATGCTAGAAAACAGAAAAGAAAGCCAAAAGAAAGTTATCCTAAAATTTTAAATACAGAAAACATACAATTATTTTTCATAAACAAAGGCAAAGTAAAGGTTTTTCAGCCATGCTGAAGCTGAAGTATTCTATCACCAGAAATGTTAATGGAAGTTAATTAGCAGAAGAAAAATGATATTACATAAAAATATGGAGCTACAACAAGGAATAAAAACATTGAAAACAGTAACTACATGGACAATTATACATATATTTTTCTTTTAAAAAACTCTTTAACAGAAAAGTTGATGGTTTAAATAAAAATAATAGTACTTGTGGTGAGATAATGACAAGTTAAAGTAACAATATTATAAACCCTGAATGAACTACTAGAAGAACAAAATTAGAATTTACAATTAATAATCCATCCAACAAAGAAAATTAAAAAATCATAACAATACTCAAACCAAGGGACTGCAAAAAAAACTGAAAAGAGGAAAAAATACAAAATTTTAAAAGTAGCAAAATTTAAACCAAACCTTATCAATAGTCATGTTAAATGTAAATGGTCTAAACACACCAATCAAATATTAGGCAGTGTGAGACTGCATTAAAAAAAAAAAAAAAAAAAGGAAAATATATGCTCCTTACATCAAACACACTTTAGAAATGATGAGACAAATAGGCTAAAAGTGCAATGGTGGAAAAGTGTATTCTGTTAACACTAATCAACAATAAACTGGAATAAATTATTAGATTTATATAAAAGAAATTTTATATCAGAGTATAATAGCAGAATAAAAATGTATGCAAGGGTGATAAGATCAATTCATGGGAAAGACATAACGATTCTAAACATTTAGGCTCTTAAAAACAATTATAATATATAGGGAGCAAAAATGAATGGAACTGTATGGAGAAATAGACAAATTCACAGCCAGAGATTTTATTACCCATCTTTGAATAACTGATGAAAATGGGCACAAAAATCCAAAGAAGATAGAGAAGATATGAAAAAATCATCAAAGAACTTGACCCCATCTGTATATACAATAGTAGAGTGCACAGTCATTTGAAGTGCACATGAAATAGTTACTAAAAGAAACCATCATTTGAATCATAAAACAAGTCTTGGTGATTTTAAAATGATCCCAGTCATACAGGATATGTTCTCTAACCAAAATAGAAACAAATTAGAAGTCAATACTGGGACGGTCTCTAGAAAATCCTGAATAAAATATAAATTGTATTTTTAGATAGAAAACTAGAATGTGTAAATATTTGAAATTAAATAATAAACTTCAAAGCAACATGTGATTCAAAGGAGAAATTAAAATGGGATGAACTTTTTAGTAGGGACAAACAACCATTTGACAAAACCCAACAACCTAGGAGGAGAACATTCTTATAGTTATGAAAGTTATCTATAAAAACACTACCACTAATACCATATAGAATGTTTGTAGGCTGAATGTTTATCTCCTAAGATCTGGAATGACATGTCTCCATACCCAAGTCTTCCTATAAAAATAGGAATAGCAGTAGCACCTGCCTA